GGGGGCTGACGCGACACGTCGAACTGCGGGGGCGGAGCGGTGGGGTGCGGCGTGTCTGACGAAATGATGCGCCACAAGAAGACCGTCTCCCTGTCGACCGCACCCCTTTTCGCCTTTTCAGGGCGCGAGGCCAGAAAAAAACTGATAAGATTTCACACAGTCGGACGGGCACAATAATTGGCTTAAAGGACATATGGGCGTGCCTTCACAATAAACACTGATGCATTATGTCCTGCATCAGATTAGCAGACTCTGAAAGATCAACAGTGTAGCGTACATCTGTTTGCTGAAATATGTCCATACAATGTACACTTTGTTGAGTTTTCAGAGTGGCAGAGTCTCAAGCAAAAGGTCTGCACAATTTCATACGCATTTATGTACAAATTGTGCGATGTTATGAAGGGTGTACATTATTATGCGTACATTAATGACAATATAAAATTCTGCATCTTTATGCACAACAAAATGCATAATGATTTATTGTATTTGAAGCCTCGACTCGGAGAGCAATCATCAAGTCTTTTGATCACACCCTGTCTCCTGTCATCCCACGGGCCGGTGCCACGGCCGCTTCCAAGGACTTTTTCGGTCTGGCCCCGAAGTTTCCACTAAAACAAAACATAAAACGAAGCCATGCAAAAGAGATTGGTTCGCAGAACAGATAAAATGTCACTTTCAAGAAAATGTTATACTTTTTTGTTACACCAACCAACAGTATTCAATTGGCTGCACAGCTAAACCAAAATTTCTTTTGATAACTAAGCTGGTTTTGCGGGAGCAAACCCGTTCGTTCGGAGCGTAGTTGGGTAGAACAATAAGTATAAACTTGCATTGAATGTAACAATTTTTTTTTCTGTTCTGGAAAGCAATGATTTTTTTCCGCGAGGACGCGGAACTGATAAAAAATGGCACCCTTAAATGTGTACTACTACCATACCCCACCCCACCTCTTCTTAGCTTACCAAATAATTTTCCCCTGCTGCTAGCTACCGCTTGAAGGCTCGGAAGAAGCCTGCTTTTGCATGTGAGCACACTCGCGCGAGCAGGCGATGGAAACGTCTGAAAGAGTACTCGAGACTCGCGCCGTTGAGAGAGGCCATATAGCATGGAGGAGAAATACTCGGTGGAGGCTCTTCGAGAGTGGCGCGCTCAAACTCACTCGCCACACGATCAACACGCGCATTGCTTTTTACTTTTTTCCCTCAGCAAAGTGAAAAGAACAGCGTATCGTATTACTCCCTCTGCAGTCACACCTGGTCTCGTTGCGTCAATGTCGGAACAAGAGCGAGCACTAAACAATAGCTTTACAGCGCGCTCCGCGGGGGAGTACAGTAATTGCTGAAAGTAAAACTCTTCTCCTTAAGGACATGGCCAGCGGCCTTGGCAGTGCGGCGCGGCGCGCGGCACCCGATTGTGTGCAAAGGAGAAGTCCAGCCATAGCGTCGCTTTCCCCGCGCTGCGGCAGGGAGCGGCCCGGCAGTGCACCGCTGCAGTTGGAGAGCCCCCTCCCCTCCCCTCATAGTTTTTTCCCCCTTACCTTTTTCCCCCTCATCGTCAGGATCCCCGTTATGACGCCCCGAATCGTTCGCGACGCGACGGCCGACCGGTGTCAGACCGGCGCGGTGCGGGCGCAGAGAAGCGTGGGCCGGCGACAGGCGGCAAGGACTACACTGGCTTCAAGAATTCTTCGCTGGTGTTCAACTTCAATTAGTGTTGAATAGAAGGTTCTCAAGAAAGGCGAAGTTTCTGTGCGCGACAGTATTTTGCATTGGAAAAATTTCACGACCTTACAAAGTTTTTCGAGGCATAATTTACTTAAAAATCCCGGAAAGATGTGGACTTTGAGTGGACTTAGCGACCTTCGCTCTCGTTTCCACCTTTGTTTTTCCGGCAGTGGACATATTGCAAGTTCGCACTTTCTAGTCAATCACTAGCATGCGAGACGGTTGTGAGTACTTCCAGATGCATGTCAGTTGGAGTAGATTCTCACCTGCGAGTGCTGTGTCGGAGAGGGCGGCGACCACGGCGAGCAGCAAGGCCCCGTGGACCAAGCAGGGCAACCAGCCCCGCCAGCGATCCCTAGGGGCCATCCTCCGTACACATCAACGGCCTGAAACAGACGAGCGACGCCATCAGCAACAGGGCAAAGGACAATGTTAGGAAATCTTAATTACAGCTGGATAGCGTGGGTTACAAATTTTCAATCGTCCCTTGCTCAAAGCACGCACGGCGCAGCACTTCTAGAGAAACCTAGTATCTTTGCGCGACGCTCGTGAAACCCACTATCGTTGCGCGACTCTGGTGAATCCACGTACACTGTTAACGCCGTGGTCCCCTAGCTTGCCAGAATGTTGGTAGTCTTTTTTGATTGCCAAATTTTGGCCTCCTTTTGAAAGAAGGCCAACTTTTGGAGGCCAAAAATTGGCAGCCTCCAAAAAGACGACCAAAATTTGGCAAGCAAAGGGGCCGAAAATTGGCAGCCTCCAAAAGACGACCAAAAGTTGGCAATCAAAAAGGACTGCCAACATTTCGGCAAGCTAGGCGACCACGTCGTTAATTAACTGTGCTTCATTTTTGGATGACTCTTGAAACCTATACCATTCGAAAGAGAAATTTGCACTCTATTGAATATATATGGTTCCTAAAAAATCGTTAAAAAATGAAAATGCGTTACGTGGTTTCACCAGAGTCGCGCGCAACAACCCTGGAACAAGTGTGCATAATTTAAACACCTACGAGTGCAAGTTATGATTTTAAACATAACAAAGTGTTTAACTCAAGTTGCACACTTGCGTGGTGTGCGTACACATTTTACGTTTTGTAAACGTTTTGTTAACGTTTTGTAAACGTTTGAATTCCATACTTGGACACTCGCAAATCCAGAGGGACCATGGTCTGCAGCTGCTATACTTTTCGGATGTGCCAAAGTTTAAACACCAATTGACGTTTAACCTAGTTAAACACCACAATGTGTTGAAAAAATGCAGACTTGAACGTTCAACACCAATTGACGTGCAAAATTAAACTCTTGTTGAACGTTCAACACCAATTGACGTGCAACATTAAACTCTTGTGTTACCAGTGAATGGTTGGTTTCACAAGCGTTGCACAAAGATACTTGGTTTCTCTAGGGGCGCTCTGCGCAATGCGTGCTTTAAGTTACGGACAAGGGAAATGATTACTAAGATTAATTTGTGCAATTCCGTGCGATTTCCGAAAAATTTTGTCGCGTCTATGGAGATTTTCGGTTTTGTACACAGAAAAATCTTTTTAATACAAAGAAGATTTTTATGTAATGCAATGAAATTCGTAATACGAAAAAATTGTTGTAAAAGATTTAGAGTGAAAAAAGACCGGTCCGAGCAATGTTGTCCGATCTTGCCGCGACATTTCAACGTTGTCCGATCTCGATGCGACGTTTCAACAAAGTTCGATGTGCTTTTTGGCTGGCGGCGTAAATATGAAGTTTATAGCATTAAACTACAATTCATAGGGCTTTATATTACGTTAAATATTTAATGTCTGTATTCCTTCGTTCCTGATGAACAAACATCGACTTAGCACTTTGCAATTCGAATACCATCCCACCCTGTTTATCAGTGGTAGGCTAAGTATAGGCCTACGATGTACCGTCGCGCCGAAATTTCTTTAAGGACATCTAACTTTGTTGAAGCGTCGCGGCGAGATCGGACAACGTTGCTAGGACCCGTCAAAAATTGAAGATCTTTTTTTCTAAAGGTGTAGGCTACGTTTGCTTTTTATTGAGCACGCCAATGACCTGCTCTGACATTTCGGCTAAAATTAGTTGCTGCTGTCGCGAAGACTAAAAGTAGACGGTAGTGCTCTATCCGGCTCTATCCCCCGCACGGCGGATTGAGGAGAGAGACAAACCGATTGAAGAGGGACTTGGGGACGAGGGAAGAGAGGGAGAGAGGAGGCCACGACCCACTGGCCCCCCGCTAGGCCCCTGAATCGCGACGGCCACGTTGGCGCGCGCCTGCTGGCCAGGCTCGGCACGGCCGCTTCGCGCCGACCAGCGAAAGGTAAAAGAAGAGGCATGGAGAAAAGGGAGAGAACATAGGGAAGTGAGGGAGGGAGAGACAGAGAGGGGAGGCGGGCGCCGGCCACGACGTGCCAACGCGACTGGTGGTTAGGTGTCAAGGTGGCGGGCGGGGCGGGACCCACTTCACAATGGAGCCCAAGGGGCCCGTCACGGATCTCAAGCAGGCTTCCCCTCCCCCCTCCCATGGCTGCCTCCCCCCAGACCTCACCTCACCACTCTTTGTCCGAGCACCCCGTAAAAGCACTCTGTACATGGAAACCCAAACCCAAACCCATTCGCTTCATTATTTATTTTTTCGATGTTTGCGGTTTTTTATGTATTTCAGTAGAATGAGAATCACATGTTATTCATTACACTTGACTGTCATACCCGCGATTTTGTCCAGGGGCTTTTTTCCAAAGAGCCTGTTCTCTCCCCTCCCCCTCTGCAACGCCGGTCATTCGTTTCAAAGGCTTACTCCAATCTCGCTCACGGCGGGGGGTGGCGGACTCATCAGTCGGCAGAATGACCGGAAGCAGATCGGTTGCACAAAGCGAGCCGGGGATGGCTGGGGCTTCCCTGGCCGGCAGCAGCTCCATACCTCACTGGTACCTCACTGGTACCTCACTGGTACCGCACTGGGGCAGCGCCCGGCCGGCGTTACGCTCCCGTACACTCCACGCAGCAGAGCCTGCCGGCCGCCAGGAGGTTGCAAACAACCGAGATGAAAGACGTGCGGGGCGATGGGGCGATTGCTTCCTGAAAATTGTGCCGCGCCGATTTGATCGCCGGCTGTAACTGAAACCTCTCGCGTAACGCACGGCGCGGCCATTTCTCCTGGAAGTGCCTCCGGAGGCTCCCGCCCCGTCCCGCCGAGCGCCTCCTCGAGCAATGCCAGTAATTCCAGCCCCACCCGCTCCACGCCGTCGCCCTCCTCTTGCATCCGGAAGCAATACGGCCAACAGTCGCTGCTGACAGAACGACGAGCCCCGCTGACACAGTGCCTGCGAGAGCTCCATCACCCAACAGACACTAGGGTACCTCGAAAAACACCGTTTTTCGAATCTGATTTCGGCTCGGGTGGATAAATGTTCTATCCAGTAACACTATTAACTGTCTAAAATATTATTTCGATCGGATAAAATCTTTAGCCTCCACAGCGGCCTCAAAGTTTAGCATGGAGCTCTTATGGGAAAAAAGCGTAACAACTGAAATCTTACATTGGAGGGTTCCTGTCATATAATTCGCTGTTTTAATTTTTTAAAATGCAATCTACGCATAAAAACGCATCCAGAGATGTGCCACTTGTCATACGAGTACCTGTCCGTTTTGACCAAGGCGCTGTCAAAAAAGCTGATTTTTCGTCAAAATTGCAAATTTTGGTCATACAAGCTGGGTACATATGACATGAAGAAGCACATCTCCGGAAGCGTTTTTACGCGTAGATTCCATTTCTACTAATTAAAACAGCGAAATTTTCAGCTGGAACCCTCACGTAAACAATTTCAGTTTTTAACCTTTTTTCCCATAAGAGCTCCATGCTAAACTTTGAGGCCGATGTGGAGGCTGAAGATTTTATCCGATCGAAATAATATTTCACACCGTTAATAGTGTTACTGGATAGAACATTTATCCACCCGAGCCGACATCAGATTCGAAAAAAAGTGTTTTTCGAGGTACCCTAACAGACACCCTAGTAGCACAGAACTGTCGTCCGACTGGCGAACAGCAATAAAAAAGATAAGAAGTGTCGGTGCGATCTACGAAATGAGAAAAATGATTCTATCGGTATACCATCTCTTTTCCTCGAAACGAAAATCTTTATCGGCCAGGTACAACAGACAGGCACACACAACAGACAGGCAGACACAACCAATAGGCAGTCACAACCAATAGGCAGTCACAACCAATAGGCAGTCACAACCAATAGGCAGTCACAACCGACAGCTGACACAACCGACAGAAGACACAACCGATAGCCGACACAACCGACAGCAGACACAACAGCCACTGCTGCCAGAACCTCCAGCCTCGCAGACAGAGCCCGCGCGAGCTTAATCGCCACAGCCACACAACAGACACACGGCCCGACACAGACAAGCAGCTCGCGGCAGCTGCGCTAGCCTGAGCATGTGCAGCGTGGAGTGACTGCAAGGACTGCAGCAGCGGAGAAAGTGAGAGTGGACTTTGTCACCTCGTCGGGCCGCCGCGCCCCGCCCCCAGCCTACGTGTGGCGGGCAGCCGCACGCGACGGGCCGGGCTGGCCGGGCCAGACCGGTCGGGTAGGTCTCGTTTGCACCACACGCGTGGGACACGGCACGGCACAGCGCGGCGTGCAGTGGGCTAGGCCGCGGCCGCTTGTGGCGGAGACTGCCCGGAGGCTGAGTGCCTGCCTGTGAGTGGAGGCTGGTCCGACAGCTCCCGCGGATTTTGCGACTTCCGGTCTCTATCTTGGGCCCAGTCCTCAAAAGGTTAGCGTTGTTTGTTCGTCCTCCTGCAGAGCAGGATTACAGATCAGGGAACAGTCTCTAGACATTGAAGTGTTTTGTCGTGTGTACGTTTGCGCAGACACAACACTCAAATTTTGGCGACAGAATCCAGGTGGTGGAGACCGAAGGTCGGAAAATACGGCGAGCTCTGCGATCAGCCTCCAGGACATTCTGGCTCTTCCTTCAGAGGGGCGGAGTTCGCTATGAACAAGCAGTCGTTAACCGTCGTTGAAGTTGAATAAGTGAAGCGCCAGGCCCGCTGCGCAGTGCGCACGCCCGTCTGCGGGCTGGCTCACTCACACCCGGGCGCTTCTGTCTCCGGTCGCAGCGAATGACGGATTGACGCAATGCCGCAATGCCCGCCAGCAGGACAACGTGGTCAGACATTTTACTCTAGAACGTAGCGAAAGTGCTAGCTGAAGATTTTGACGCTTTTACAGCGGTATTTTGTTAGTATTTGTGTTTGTGTTTTTACAGGACTGAATCTGCTTACGTTTCTTTTCAATTTAATTTCAGCAGGTCTTTCCTTTGGCCATTTGTTGGGCGAGCTTCATCAGCAGGACTCAAAGAGCACGGGCG